CATGAAGATGCTGCGGGCAAATAGGAGGGGGTGTGGGTAGTGTTAGTCGCCCCGCCCTCCCGAATTGTCATGGTTTCTGAGTGGCTCAAACTCGACCTCATGCCTTGAATGGCTGCGTGCTTGTGCTGGGACAAACTGCCACAATGCTGCAGCTGCCATTGACACGTTCACCTTGTGCCATGAAATTGAGCTTGCACACGAAGCTGATGCGAGAGTGGCTGACATGTCCACGCAACCCTCATGGGTGCACCACAATTAAACAGCTGCTGCCCCATAGGCGAACTTGCCCTGTGATTGCCCTGAGAGAATGTCAGAATACACACGCACGAAATCGGTCGATAGTCTGTCGGACGACCAGAAAGACAGCTCTATGCAAGGGAGATGCGCAGACAAAGTCAGGGGCATTGCCGATTGCAGAAGCACGATTTGCAGAGTCTGGATTGAAGCATGAATTAGGCAAACATAGTGGAGGGCTGAAGTCAAACAGTGTAGACATGTTTGCAGCAAAATGAGAACTCTGTAAGTAGCCTCAACAGGTCTGCAAGCATGTCTACAGCAGTGTTGCACTTCAGAATCAAATCATGTGCAGTGGTCTCTATGCTCACCATCAAGACTACCGTTTCACACATCTGCCCGTCTCAGAGCTCGGCTGCGGAGCAAAGGCATAACAGCATTAGTACCTCATTCTCAACGCACAACAAGGACATACATGCATTTCTGTATAAATATATATATATATGTAAATGTGTGTGTTCGTGTATGTATGTATGTATAGTCGCATGTTATTTATACATGTATAAATACAGCTACCTAAATTATTACTAAACAGCTACAAAAAGCGGCTTTGGGCGGGGCCAATCGCGTTACATGGTTTTTGCACACTGCTGTCATCCATTTCGGGGATATTGCTTTGAGGGGGGGGTATCGCTTTACTAGGGCTTTGCTCATGTCCATGGATTTTATCTCTGCCTGCTCTTGGCTCCTACACGATAATGCAAGCAGTCGCTCAAATATATGAATACAACATACACATAATATTAGATTATCGCTATACATATATGCGTACATACCATGCAAATGAATCTATATCTCTCTCTACAGTATACACCAAACAAAAGGAAGAACAACACATGCAGAAGGGCTTCCGTTCAGAACCACAAAGATCAGGATCCCAAGGAAGGATGCAGGCTACAAATCCCGGATGAGGATCTTTAATGAGACTCCTGGAGGCCTCAATAGGACTAATCAGAACTCTTATTCATTCAAAGTCCCTCGTAAGGATCCTTGATCAGAATTCCTAATCAGGATCCCAAGTTTGAATACTTCGCTCTCCACTCCACACTCTGCTCTCCACTTTGCAATTCACCCCGAACTACTCCCCACTCCATTCTCTCACTACACTCGATTCTCCAGTTCCGCTCTCCACTTGACACTCACTCCACTCTCCAGTCCTCTCTCCACTCCATCACTCCATTCTCCACTCTCTGGAACCAACTACCCACTCCACTCTCCATCACTCTCCAATCCACTCCACTCTCTACTTCACCTTCCACTCCACGCTCCACTCTCCACTCTCCACTCCACACCATTCTGCGCTCTCCACTCCGCTCTCCAATTCACTCCCCACTCCACCCCCGCTCCACTCCAAACTCCACACGCCACAACTTTCCACTCCCAAGCTCCTCTCTACTCCACGCATCCCGCTTTGTATTCAGGGTGACCCCTGTGAATCCCCATTTTACCGGGTAAAACCGTGAACCCAGGCAAAAGGGCTCTGTAAAATGGGCGAAGCCAGATTTGACATAAAGAACGAAATCTCTGTGAAATGAGGGTCACAGTGGCATTTTTTAGAGGACCTTTGGGGGCTGAATCCCTGTTTGGTACTCATGGTGACCCCTGTGAACCCCATTTTACGCACAAAAGGCTTCGTAAAATGGGCGAACCGTGGGTTTGAAGGCCTTTGGTGGGCTGAAACCACAGCTGCATGGGAACAGCACTGCAAAATACTGCAAACACATGCAATATTAAGGGCGCATCCTTCTGCAAATAAGAAGTGAGTGATAGTCCGCAACCCCACATGGGGGTTGTCCACTTTTCCTTATCCCAAAAACAACCCTTTCGCGGGCTTTCGCCCGCAACATTTTCTTGAGATGTGCAACAAACCTTATCCAATTCCTATTTGCAAGTCCTGTATTTAATAGATTTGTTGAATGCTTGGAAGTTCTGTTGGGGTCCTATATGGTCAGGGGGCCTAAATAAATACGAATTTAGTAAAGGGTCCTAAACCCACTCCGCAAATATACAACCTAAGTTAGAAACTCGGTGATGTTCTCGCCCTGTGTGCGCAAAGCCGGGCTTTTCATAGATGCCCGAGAGGCCAACTACCTTCCCGGGCCATGACTTGTGTCCTTTCGCGCGCCTTCCGCGCGCCTTTCGCGAAAATCCGTTCTGCAACATCTGCCCTGGAAGTGCTTTGACGGACATTGATGGACAGTGATACTGATGATGAGAGCAATAGTACTGGTAGCACTTCTGTACTGAGAGTTGCTGGACTTGCCACATTGCAGCAAGTGCCGGCACGTGCTTTCTTAGGAAAGCTTGGCCGTGAANNGCGCAACGGTCCAGCTATGCCATGCTAAAAGCTGTTGCGAACCTTTCGCCGCCCTTTCGCGAGCTTTTGCTCGCAGTGTTTTTGCATCATGCGTCCCCGTGCTTATATATCTCTAAACATGGGTCCCAATTCTAGACATGGGTCCCAACCCCCCCTTTCTGGATACGAGAAAGTGTGGGGGT